TTACGTGAACGGGTAAAAGCTGCAATGCCCAAAGAAAAGGAGTATGAACTCGATGGCATTGCATTACAAATGGGACATTCGGTTGTACGATTGCCACCATACCACTGTCAGTATAATCCCATCGAGCTCATATGGGCTCAAATCAAAAATAAGGTTGCCGAATTGAACACCACATTTAAAATTGCCGATGTCGAAAAACTTGTAAACGAAGTCATAGACTCGGTTACGGTCGAAGATTGGAAGCGTTGTGTCAAGCACTGCGAAGAATTGCAAGAATCAGATTTCATAAAAGAAGGTTTACGTGACGAAATTTTAGAACCAATAATAATAACAATAAATCCCGATGAAACCAGCGACAGTGAAGATGACGACGAAGACTTTTAATTATTTTTACTTAACTAATTTTTTTTAATTGTTATAACCCTTGTATTTTTTTTTATAAATATTTTTCAACCTAATAACAAGGAATAAAATTTTAATTGTTATTTGATACTTATTTGTGTTAATTAATTATTCATAGTAGTTTTATTATTTATTGAGGTTATGAATAATATGTATATAAAATTATATGATATAAATATATAACATATTGGTAAATAATATATTTTTTCACAAATAAAAATATTAAATAATAATGCACGTAATAATAATAATTGTTATTACGTGCATATTAAAATGTACGTATAATTTCAAATTTACCGCGCACATGAAAAGTTTGATCGACACTGAAATTCAAAAGTTTGTCCACCGGTAGCGCTGGAATCGAGTCTCTTATTTCGTGAAACGCACTATAGCAAAATAAAAGATATAAATTTGCCTAGATTGGTAATTAAAAAGGATTCGCATAATTTAGACAAAGTTCCCGAAATAGCACATTCTATAGATTTTATACAAAACGAAATAGATAACGAGATAATAAAACAAGCAGGACAAGAAAATGTAGGAAACACTCGTAACTATTTGTTATATTTGACATTAGGATTAATATTATTCTCGATAATGTTAATAATATTTATTTATATAACATATAAGTGCAGGTTGACGACGTTAAGACAACCTCATTACGAAATGATGAAAATGAGAAAATCTAGATTTAGAACAAAGTGCGATAATTGAGAACCAAAAGTAAATGAAGTAGACGAACGAAACCTAGTCGAGGGGAAGGATATACCCCCCACAATAAAATAATTTGTAATATAATAAATTAACATATATTATATAATAAGCAGCATGTTAAACAATTAATAACAATTCTAAGATAGAATAGTAATACAAAATAATTAGGTTTAGAATAAGGATAATAATAATGTTATTAATTATAATGAACTATATTAACGAATTTGAATTAAAAAGGGACATAAAGTTCGTCATATTGGTTTTTGAGATCTCTCCAATAAACAGAACGAGTATGGTGTTACTATCTGGCGCCATTTCAAACAGTTTGGACAGATGTAAGATAAGAAAACTAGAAGGGAGACCGCTACTCTTGCCACTTCATGAACGAGTAAGAGAGATGAAAGTTCATGAATTACTGTTGGCTAAGAGGGAGATCATGCGGGTGTTCAGCTGTAAGGAAATGACAAGGACGGCATGTCTGATGCAGTTGGATAAAAGTTTGAATAGAAAATTAAATAATTTATCTCCAGAATATATAAAAAATTACATTTTAAAAGGAGGAAAACGGAACATAGTAGTATTATGGAATGGAAATTCCGACAGAAATGTTTTGAAAAGATTAAACTTAGAATTTGAAATTTTAAACATAACATGTTATGATAAGTATTTTACAGGAAATTTTACGGTACAATTCGAAAAACTAAAAGAACATGAAACAAAAGAAATTTTTTCGAGCACGATGTAGGGTATTTTAGAAAAAATGGTAGAACTTTAAATTTGACGGAAGCCCGTGGACTCGTATGTACGAAAAAGCATAAAATAACATACGCTCACGACCCAAAAACGGACGTGAGGCTAACCAAATGTATTATTAATACAATGGTCGGCAGGCAGGGTTACGCAAATTTCATAAAAAAAATTTCGAATAATTTAAAGTTCAAATCTTAAAACACTTATATAAGATGTTATGACATAATGGAAATATTATTTGTAACATTAAAGTAATAAATTAATAATAATACTATGGGTCCGATAACTGGGGCTATTCAACAGCAAACTAATCCAAAGCTTGAAATAAATGTAAAAATTGAAAAAAAATTAAAACTTTTATATATAAATAGGAAGTTGTACACAACATTTTAATGTAATTATAATATGGTAATACAGATAAATTCTATAAATTACAGATAAATAGGAATATTGAAGTTAAAATCGAGTCGGAGTATAATATTGTGTCATGTAATCAAAAAAAGTGAGTCGTGATTATGGCATGATATTATATCCCGAACAAGATAGAAAAACAATCGAAATCAAAAAATTTTTAAAGTCGGTTCGACATGTGATAAGGTGCATAATGATCTAATGTTATTGAATGACGATCTTTGGCATGTTATCATATTCCGGACGGATTGAAATACTCATAGGAAGAATTAAAGACAAAAGAAAGAAAGCATTTGATCTGTTGGTGGTAGGTTTAAAAGTCTTGATAAGAATGGACTCTTGAACACGATCATCAACGGATCGAATGAATAAAAATTTCAATAAGAAAATATTATATGAATAAAGTCTTGTTAATCTAGTCATTAGTGTAAATTGACACTTTGATTAAATAGCACAATGAATGCTAAGGATTCCAATTAACAAGATGAAAAACAAATGCAGCGATTACAGTAGAATAAAATCATTTTAATGCTGGACTGGACCAGAAATACAACTTTGATTGGATAGTTTATTGCTGGTCTGGAACTGTAGTAAAATAGATAAAGACAAATGTTAATTAGGAAGTTTATGTTAGATAAGGATAAAGTTATGGGAAATAAATATATTAAAGAAAAAAAAAATTTAAAAAAAAAAAAAAAAGAAAATTTAAGAATACATTTTATAAGAATAATAAAAGATAAACGTAATGAATAAAGGAACTATGATTATTAACATGGTGTTTGGAAAATACGTATTAATATGATATATATATTGCATGAAAAAGAATATATTGTAATAGGATTAAGAATTCATATTATATCAATAAACTAACACTAGGATAAGATTATGATTGAAAAAAAATATATAATGTTAAACATAGAGAATACTAACACAAATAATAATTAAATTTATATTGTAATAACTTAACAGCAATAGAATGTCAATATTGTAAACACATATAATATCAAAAGAATATATCGTGGATTGTACTTTATATTTTTTTGTTGATAATAATATTGTACTTTATATTTTTGATAATAATATTGTACTGTGAATTTTTGTAAACAACAATGTATCCAAATCATATAATTGTAAACAAACATAATATGTAAACATAAAAATGTAATAATTAATGTATGTAAAATTTTTCTATAGGAAGGTGCTTGAAGTAACGGAAATTAACAAAAAGTGAAATTGAGTTAATTTTTCTCGTTTAGACGATAAAAATGAACTTTTAAAGGGGGAGATGTAGTAAGCAAGTTACTACGCAACATTTCGACAGGTAGCATACTTAACATAATATACTGTAGATATATGGGCAGATATATTAAACAAAAACTAAGTAACCTTTCTGGTTGAAATAATACCACAATAGGTCAGCACGGGTTTCGTAATCATGTAGAATAGGCGGGTGTGATATATGCGATAGCTTTATATTAAAAGGAAATTTAATATAAAAAAAAACAGTATGATTATTTTATTGAATTGACAGTTCACAAATTAGCATACAATACATGTTAATAATGCGGGAAATAGATTAGAAATTTCGCAAATGCGTAGTTAGGTCGATGGCCACATAGACCACCCACATCCGTAAGAACAAAGATACCGTATCACTAGGCAAGGGGAGCGCGGACCGAACTATAAGAGGGACCCCGAAACGGCCTGTATGCAGACTTATATTATTGTTATCACATGTTATCAGTGTTATCATATTTTATCACTGTTATCATATTATTTCCGTCCCATTATCCTTGCATTATCCCCATAACCCACAACTACAACCACAACCCACAACCACAACCACAACCCACAACCACAACCACAACCCACAACCGCTGAACCTCATGCCTCACCCCACCGCCCGCTGCTCGCGTACGTGCGTGACTTATATTATTGTTATCAGTGTTATCATATTTTGTCACTGTTATCATATTATTTCCGTTATCGTATTTTATCACATGTTACGCCGCCACCGGCCGAAAATAAACTAAAAATTTTTTTCCGGACCGGGATTCGAACCCGAGTCCGTCGGTTCGGCCAGCGATCACCGTACCACTGCGCCACCCCGACACATATACTTTATAATAATAACTTACCCTATTTAACAGGTACGTATTACTTATTTTGAATTGTATAATATCAGTGTTATCATTATAAAATATACGTTATCAGTTACCGCGAACGTGTTTGTATATCATATCAGTGTTATCACTAAAAATAGACTTTGGAGAGATTCGAATTCTGATGTATACTTGCCATAGCTTTACATAAAACTGCAAAAGAAACATTTAATAATAGATTGCAGCTGCACGTATTGACATTAGGAGCCATCGGTTCGCACGCTCGCCGAACATTATAAAATAATCAATAATTATACCTATAGTATATCGAATAGAAGATACCAATTAATGAAAAATACATTAACCCTAATAGCCTACTTATTGTCATAGCCAGGATGTCTTAATAGCCACCTCTAATAATAATACAAGTATCTACCACAAGAAGCATTAGCGTACGTCTGTTTATATATATCACCGAGTATAGCTGAAACGGTTTAGTCTACCCGACACATTCATCGTTCTCGTTCGAACTTTAAAAAATTTCCAACGTTGAAAAATTTTTACAAGTGTTTTTCTTTTCGTTTTCGTTTTTCTATCATCATTACCTTAAACATTTTAAAAATGTTTCAATGCGAACAGTGCCCTTCGGTTTTCACCATGAAACAAAATTTGACTAACCATCAAAAGAAGCATGCGGGTATACGTTTTCCGTGCACTGTATGTCCTTCGACATTCACATACAAGTCTGGCCTCATCAAACATACGAAGAACATTCATGGTATGTATTAATAATATAAAGTTTTATTTCTATCGTATACAATATTAATTTATATTAAGGTATCGTCAACGTTCCGGCTCATTTGAGACCAGCTACGCCGATCACCGCTCAACCAGCACGTCCAAGCGTCAAACAGCTCGCACCTCTTGCCGCTCTGCAGGGAGATATTCAAATCGCGCCGCAGATATTTGTCCCCGATGTTCCTGCTGGTGGCTCGAACATGATGTCCGAGGACGAGATTTGCATGGCAGCTATGGACGAATTCGAAGATACAGGTTAGTTTTGAAACCCGAATTAATTAGATTATTAAAATAATTTACCCGCCGTGGATTAATTACACAAAGACATATATCGTTATATTATAAACTAAGGTTGATTAGATTCGATACCACTTTTTTTATTTTCATTAGATACTAATTAGGATTTTTTTTCTTTTAAAGATTCTTACACCGTTGCCGTTAACGGGAAACGTGTTTCGACTGCCAACACCGTGTCGGCTGCTAGAGCAAAAAAAATTAAGATGGACATGGTTAAGACTCCTGGGTTCACTGAAATTTCCTCGTCAGCGAATCGAAAAATCGTGTGGTATTATGCCAAAAATATTAACAACGTTCGAAATTATCCCAACTTTCTCCGCTCGCTCATGCCTGAGCTTGAATGTTGATGATAAAGGTGATGCCTAAGGAGGGGGAGTGTCTGCAATTTGAAGCATGGAGAAATACTCAGAGACATCCTATAGTAATATATGCAGATTTCGAAACTATACTTATGAAGACGGATGAGAAGAAGGGGGGAAATACAAAAATAATGCACAGACATGAAGCGATGAGGTATCAACTCATTGTGAAGGCGAGCAATGACGTACCGACAGAGCTATTAGCGAGACACGAGATACCAACGGAACCAATATTATATCGAGGAAGTGAGAGTCAGCCTGATGTGGCGAGACATTTTGTCGAAACCGTGACGGATATATCGTTGAAGATTGAGAAATTATTGAAGACTAATATTCCGATAAATATGTCCGCAGACGACATACAAGTTCATGAAGCAGCGACGCACTGCAATCTATGCAAAATTGAGTTTACCCCACCTTCAGAGGTACTATATCGTAAGACAGCTGACCATTGCCATCTCACAGGAAAATACCGTCAAGCTCTCTGCAATGTATGCAACCAAAAACTACAAACACCCGTTTTTGTACCGTGCTACTTCCATAATTTGTCCAACTATGACGCGCATCTGATAGTCACAGAACTTGGTTATGACACCCAGACTATTAGAGTAATACCAAACACTGAGGAAAAATACATATCATTCTCTAAATATGTGTCAAGTAAATTCCAAATCCGTTTCATAGACACTTTTAGATTCATGGCATCAGGACTATCAACTCTAGCTAAAAATCTTGTAACACCAGGTCTGGAGAACTTCCGTGAGACCGCTAAAGTTTTTAATATTGTCGATATGCCGCTCGTGACTCGGAAGGGAGTGTACCCGTACGAGTACACAGATAGTTGGAGCAGGTTGGATGAAGAGAGACTACCGAAAAAGAGAGACTTTTATAGCAGGTTAAACGAGTCGGGAATAAAAGAGGAGGAATACACGCATGCAAAGGAGGTCTGGGACCACTTTGGCTGCAAGACGTTGGGCGAGTACAGTGATCTGTACTTGAAAATCGACGTGTTGCTGTTGGCGGACGTCTTTGAAAATGTTCGTGATGTGTGCATAAAGACATACAACTTGGACGCGGCGTATTATTTTACTGCACCAGGATTGAGTTTTGACGCGATGTTGAAGTTTACCGGGAAAAAGTTGGAGCTATTGAGTGATTACGATATGTTATTAATGTATGAGAATGGTTAGTATATTATTTATAAAATATGAATATAATAATAATCTTATTAATTTTTTAGGTATTCGTGGTGGATTAGTGCAGGCAAGCATGAGACATGCCAAAGCGAATAATATAAATACCCCAGACTATGACGAAACTAAGGAGAAATCGTGGTTGATATTCCAGGACTGTAAATATATTTATTTATTTATTTATTCATTTTTTACAAACTTAAACTTTACAGGTAATAATCTCTATGGCTGGGCTATGTGTCAGTATATGCCATACGGTGACTTCAATTGGGCTGAACCGTCTCTTAACGGATTAGCTGATTTAAACGACACATCAGACAAAGGGCGAGTATACGAAATTGATGTCTCATACCCGCAAAAATTACACGACAAACATAACGACCTGCCCTTCCTGCCACAAAACGGTATACCACGCGGGTCGAAGGTGAAAAAATTGATGGCAACGTTTCAGCAGAAGAAAAATTATATTATACATTACCGGAACCTACAACAGGCAATTGAAAATGGGTTAATAGTTGAAAAAGTAAATATTTTTATTTTACAAGATTTAAATTAAATTAAATTTTTAACATTATATCTTAATTTATAGGTGCATAGAGTTTTAGAATTTAGCCAGTCTGCATGGTTGGCGGATTACATTAACTTAAACACAGAGATGAGGAAGAAGGCACAGAACGACTTTGAGAAAGACTTTTTCAAATTAATGAATAATGCAGTATTTGGTATGTTACTTTATACTATTTATTCTGATTTTATTAACATTTTATTTTTACAGGTAAAACAATGCAGTCTAAAAGAAAGGAGATGAAGATGGAGTTGGTGTCGTGTGAGAGACGACTACAAAAACTTATTAATAAGACGACATTTAAACATGCTACCAACTATAGAGAAAACCTGAACGCGGTGGCGTTGGAAAACAAAATAATCAAATTTGATAAGCCTATATATATTGGTAAATATACTTTTTTTTTTTTAAATTACATGTTTATCATTTATTTACATATTTTGTATAGGATTTGCTGTACTTGACATTTCCAAGACGATGATGTACGATTATCACTACAACGTAATGCAGAAGCACTATGGTGATAATATCAAACTTATGTATACTGACACAGGTAAATATACTAAAACTATTATCTTGTGTGTGTATATGTATATATATTAATTATTATTTCAGATTCGTTGGTATACCATATTAAAACTGAAGATTTTTACAAAGACTTGATTGAGAATCCCAACTTGATGGATAGATTAGACACGGCGGACTTGCCTCCTACCCATCCGTGCTACACTACAGCTAGGAAGAAGGTGCCCGGGTTTTTCTCTGATGAAGCAAAAGGACATATAATGACAGAGTTTTGTGCACTACGTGCAAAATCATATGCGTACAACATAAATACAGGAGAAGAGGATGTGGCGAGAGAGCAGATCAAGGCGAAGGGTGTAAGACAGCATGTGGTTAAAACTTAAAAACCACATGACGTTGGAGGATCATGTTAAGTGTTTGTTTGGGGAAGAAGGATTAGAGACGTACAAGGAGAATGTTTCAATACGGTCATTCAAACATCAACTCATGACGATTAAGACTAAAAAATTAACATATAACAGCTACGATGACAAAAGAGTGGTGCTAGAAGATAAAGTCCACACACTAGCACATGGACACTATAGTTTAGAGTAAGTTTTTAAATCATTTTATATTTTTCAAATTATTTTACTTATATTTATAATTTTATAGGGATGATAACGATCAGATTGTTGATTGGCCTGAATTAGAAGAAGGAGGACAGAACTGGAACGATGAAGAGAAAGATTTAATGAGATTACTTCTAAGGGGGTGCATGTCTAAATAATTAAATACTGTATATATTTCTAATTTGTAAATACTTGATTTAGATTAATGCATATATTTTTTGTTATATTGTAAAATAACATGTATATTTTTGTTATCTATAACCATGTATTGAAAATGTTAGGTTACCTATGTGAAATAAAAAAAAACCAATGTTAAAATATTATTGTTATATTTTTAAGAATTTGTATATTTTTGTTATCTATAACCATGTATTGAAAATGTTAGGTTACCTATGTGAAATAAAAAAAACCAATGTTAAAATATTATTGTTATATTTTTAAGAATTATTTATAAACCATTTTCTTATAGCAAAAACTTTATAAAATGTACATTGTTTAGGATTAAATTCCATATGAAAAATACAACAAGGTAGAGTTTCGTCATCGCATATTTGATCTAAACGAGGGCAGCCCAAGTCTTCAATGTTGATGAGTGCGACGTGTGGTATATACTCCATAAGAATTTGTTTTTTCTGTTCACCTTTGACGTAAATGCTGTTGAACTTTAATGAATTCAATATTCTTCCGAGTTCTTCATACTCGATATCACCGTATTCTATAGGCAGTTGATGAAAATTACGTTCCAGCCACTTGTTGGTTTTACGACTTTTGTTATCCTCCATCGATTTTGAATGTTTAAAAATCCAGTGTTGGGTCGCCCAAGTTTCTGTGTCTACTATAGACATTTCTTTAATCATGTATTTATTGTTAAATCCAAGAACGCATTGCATGTCCAAGATGGCCGAAGACATTATGGCTTGTCTTTATAATAAGTTTCTATTGTGTTAAGACGGCTCAGTATAGCAGGAATTATTTTTTTCAACGCTTCTGTACTTTCTTTGATTGATTGTAATGATACTTCACCTCTTGTCATATGCTCAGCTATTTATATACATGTCAATTGTATCGCTTCTACTTGTTCTTCTTGAATTTGAATGGATTTATGATTTTTTTCGAGTAAATGCTCAATTTTATCGAGTTTATTCGAATACGATTTAACAATTTGTTCGAGATTTGAAATATTTTTTTTTGTTTCACCAGACTGAGAACTACCAAACACGTTCATGTCTGTAGCTCGACTGAAGTTATTTTCTAATGTCACTTGTATTTATCCAACTATTGTGTGTATTATCAAACCCTAGCCATTTGACAAAAATTTGATCCCCCTTCTTACGGATAATTTTCTCTACTAAATAGTCATTTGGATAGTTTGTTTTCAATATTTCTTCTGAATAAAAGCAACCAGCAATTGGTTTTCCAGTATAGTCTTGTAGCTGATAAGTAGTAGGTAATGTTTCATTAATTTTAACAATTTTGAATATTTCTGTAGACCAGCTCGGTAAATAACCTTTTGCAAATACACCTTTATACGTACTAATACGAACGTTATCACCCACGTTAAATTTGATTGATCCATTAATAATTTTTCGTTGTTTAATTACGACAGATGCCGGATTTGTATCAGCTTGCACTGGGGCCATACCTATTGTCCTATGTTTTGAGTTGTTGTACTCGTTAATCAACGACTGTAAAATAGAAACCCATTCGTGAGAG